GCAGATGAGAATAGCCTGCTGGATCCACAGCTGAGTGAGACTCTTGATGACAATTCTCCCTTAGTACCCAGCCTGAGTAGTGCCTTCTAGCACTTGAAAGCAAGAGAGCAGCGGAGAAGCTTTTAGCTCACCTCCACCTTGATTTGTCTACTACATAAATGTGCTTTTGCAGTTAAATTAGTTGGAATAGCAGGTTATTTGTAAGTGCGGAGTTTGGGGTTAGAACTGGACTTTATTCCTAGTTTCATACTTAATAGCCCATGATCTTAGACATTTCCTGTCGTCTCCTTGCCTTTAAAGGAGGGATACCAACTATAGGTTCTGGAGACATAGACTGTTTGTTACAGCAACCATTTCCCACATGTGGGTGTTGAATACTCAATTTTGACTAATCTAAATTGAAATTAAGTATAACATATATTCTGTTTCAGACAAGATTAGCGGTGATTACACCAGACTTAGATTACCTTGCTTTTCATACTATGTCATTAAGTCATTAAAATAACATTGGTTACCATTGAGGTGATAGTATTTGACATACTAGTTGTCTAACCTTATAAATTGTTATAAAATGTTAATATGCCTATATAGCTTGAATATAGTTTTATTGGAACAGTTCATCAGCTCATTTTTATGTTGTAAAAGCCTGCTTTCATACTAAAAAGTTGTGTTGTTGTCACAAAGTCACCAGGCTTTTAAAGCCCAAAACACCAATTCTCTGGGCTTTAACAGACTAAGTAAATCTGCTTTTCCTTTCTTTGGAATGGTTATGATAGAGACAAAGTAGTTGAGTGAGGAAAGGGAGATGGTGAATACCTGCTAATGGATTCAAGGTTTCTCTGTGGGGCTAAAGAAGATTTTACAAGTATTTAGACATACTAAAGCCACTGAATTCTTTTAAAATTTGGGTTCTTTTAAAAGTAGACATGAACAACCGGGCAAATGTAATATAGTACTATACTAGACATGAAACATGGCAATGAGAACGTTCAAAAAGCCAGATGCAGATCAGTTATGAAGAGAATAAAACAGCTTGTAAAAAATAGTGATTTAAAAAATACATATATACACTCATAACAAAAACAGTTTTTACTACATTTCAAAATTGATACCATTTAAGAATGTGGTTGTCCCTCGATCTCTGTTTGGTACTGGCACCTGGACCTCACGAAGATACCAATATCTACATTTTACTCCCTCACGTATTTTCATAGATGAGAAACTCACAGTATATAAGTCGGACTCTTTGTAAGTTGCTCATAGGCAGGAAAAGCACTTAGATACCATCTATTCAGTTTATTCAAACCGTACTTATCATTTATTCATAATATAAATATCTTATTAAAATGCAGTCTATAACGTAAAGATGCTGTACAGTAATGAGTGAGTAGCTAATCTCAATAGGTAACCAAACGAGTGACTACAGAGTATGTTTAACCAGACGTTTAAGGCTGGGTGTGGTAGTGCACACTGTTATCCAAACATGCCTATGATGTAACCCAGCACTCAGGAGGAAGAGGCAGGAGGCGTAGGAATCTGAGGTCATCCTCAGCTGTATTTGAGGTGTGTGTGTGTGGGGGGGTGAGCTTATCTCAATAAAACAAAGCACCACAACCCTACTATATTGTTAGTGTTGTTTCTTTTCTGGAAACACCTATCTAAATACAGAAACCATGTGGACTTTTTGGCAAGCTTTTGAAAGGACAATATAAAATTAGCAGGAAGGAATTGGAAGACTATTCCAGAATTTGTATCTTGTGTTGTTATTTTTATCTTTATTTAAATTGGTAAACATACACAGTCAGATTTTTTTTCCCCGCATTGCTTTGAAACTGACCAAATAAATACAATTGATACGTTGATGTGTTGTACATAGGGTTTATCAGCAATGTACCTTTTGCAATCAAACCATTATTTGGTATATAATTTTTCTTCTGAAAATGGCAGTGGGTTTTAATTTTACTGCTCCTAGAACAGCATGTTAGAGTATTTTGTTTATACTATAGTGTAGGACACATTCTGTATAAGAACGTGATGTAGTTCTGGAGCCAAGCAGACCTGGAATCTTAACTTCATTTACTCATTTAATGTGACCCAGTAGAGCCTGTGTAATAGTTGATATTTCTACCTGTTTTCTTATCTCTAAAATGGGGTAATATCTTCTGGATTTTTAAAGAATAAATAAGAAATTACTGTAATTAGCATAAAGTAACCACTCAATAAATGATAACTTCTTATTGCCACTTAATATGCTGGTTTTAAATCAAATTTAAATTTTTTTATTTGTCAGCATCTTACATTTCATTATGTATTTTACTGACTTCCTACATTTTTTAAAAGCATAGCAAAATAATCATTCTATTTTACTGTTTCAGTCAAAGAAAAATAAGAAGAAATCAAAGTCAGATGCTAAAGCAGTGCAAAACAGTTCACGCCATGATGGAAAGGAAGTTGATGAAGGTATTTGAGAAAGGGAAAGGCCTGTAGAAAGTTTTTAATTTTTTTTAATTGAGGTGTGTGGTATACAAGCTGCATTTGTTTCACTTAATTTTGTATGTAGCTCTTTTTGATTACCATAGATTTTACAATAAAGATCTGTGGTGGTGTTGAGAAACACTTCAGCTATCTAAATCATTGAAGCATCCAATGGTGTTTCTCCTTTACATTTATGTCTGCTCAGTATTCCGACAGTTGAGAGGCCATCCATCTTGTCTTTGTTTCCTAAAGATATGGTTTGGAGTTTCCCATTTTTTTCTTAAATTTACCATTCCTAAAAGGCTGTGTGCAAAATTCTTGAATAAGCCATTTATTATCATCACACCATAAACTCATATTAGTAGCAGATATAACAGTCTCCTGTCACTTCTGCCCAACAGGATAAAAAGATAAGAGACAATTCCTTTCTGTCACTTTTTCTAAACCATACTCAAAAATTTTACTAAAAAACAAAACTAGAATAAAAATAGTTTTTTGCCTAAAATCACAAGATTAGAATAAATTCTTAGGTCGAATTAATATAATCAGCACTCTTGGTTTTTAGCTTAATATCTAAATTGATTATATCTGCCCCACCCCATATTTTTTCCCCTCAAAACTACAACTTTTTTGTTTTCCCCTTACTGAATAACATTTTTTTTCTCGGGCTATGTCAGGAGCCTGGGAAACTAAAATTAGTCACAGAGAGAAACGACAACAACGTAAACGTGATAAAGTGCTGACTGATTCTGGGTCATTGGATTCAACTATCCCTGGGATAGAAAATACCATCACAGTTACCACCGAGCAACTTACAACTGCATCATTTCCTGTTGGTTCCAAGAAGAATAAAGGTATATTAGTGGAACATAAGAGTGGTACATCAAATCAAACTCCTTTAAGTCAGATGTACAAAATACTATGTCACAATCTACTTTGATCTGCTAACATCATTGTGCTGATATACCCTTCTTCATGAGAGTATTGTGAACCACGTGCTGGTTTACCTCATAACAGCCGTGTTGTTGATATTGCCTAATGAATGGCTTATTAAATTAAAATTTGCCTTTCTGCCTTGAGTCATATTAGAAAATGTTGTTGCTTCCTTCCCTCGTGTGTGTTGCTTTGCCCCAGTCCTCTTACATCTCCATTTCTTACAGTGAATATGACATTGATTAAATGGAATGTCACCATTCTGCATGTTGGGCATTTCATTCCAACATGAAATAAGCATGTTATGGTCAGTGCAGGTTCTGTCTGTCCACCCCAGTTTTTTGTTGTTATTGGTTTGGTTTGGTTTTTGTTTTGGTAGTTTTAAGCATTGATGAAGCTAGACCAGAACTTCAAAGATAATTGAGCCAAGGTCCTTCATACCAAGAACTCAGCTGTGCAAACTGTCCAATATTGATAGCTACCTCAAGGTGTCACTTTGCACTGCTAACATTTTGCCCTGAAGACAACAGTTTGCAAAGTGGTGCTGCTCACCAGTTGCAAAACACTGGTTTATTTCCTTTGTCTACTTGTTAGTGACCTCCCTGGTTGTTAGCAGATCATCTTAACCCTGTTATTTTTTATTTTTGTTCTTTGCTTGCTAACTTACTGTCATGGTACAGCAATGAGTTCTCCTTAACAATCTGCTGTCAAATGGTATCAATAGTGTTAGTATTTTTGTTGGTGACCCATTTTTCTGATTTGGGCATGCCTGCCTTGCTTGCACCTCATGTTTCATGGGTGTTTTGAGTTAGTTTGGTTTGTTTTTGGTATATTGTGATAATTGTGCTTATTTTGTGTCAGAGAGCTGTAATTCTCATTCTTTATCATATTTCCTGTTATAATCCCAAGTCTGCAGTGCTCTTCTTAAGTTGATGTGCTTGCTTCTGGGATTATTGAAAAGGCAGCTCATGTTGAGATGAGGCAAAGTTGAATCCAATTTCAGAGCTTGGTTCTTCAGTTGCTACTGAAAGAACCTTCAGCGTTTAGAAGCATTGCAGAGTAATAGGCAGTGCTTATAATAATCTATAATGGGACAGTTTTCCAGGAACCAACATTTTAATTGACTGAAAATGTGGTAACTAGAGACTCAGTTTCCTTTGGACACGTGAAATATGTTGTAAAATCACTCAGTGTCAAAACTAGCACTTGAAGGAGCAATTTGTTATAGATGACAATTTTGTGTTCCTCCTGATTTAATGTGCATAGAGGCCTTTTTAGTATTAAATAAATTTTATTTCTATTTCAACCCAGGTGATTCTCATCTAAATGTTCAAGTTAGCAACTTTAAGTCTGGAAAAGGAGACTCTGCACTTCAGGGTGAGAGAAATTACATGTAACTTAAACTGAGGCCCATCAAAATAGAAACTTGCATACATGTCTCTTTCTGTACATGAATGATGTGGAAGGAAAGAAAGGGGGTTAAAGTGATTTTTAATTTCTGCATTAATAAGGTCATAGCCCAGAGATTTTGAAAAATGGAAAAGGAAGCTCACTCACATTCTGGTTTTGGTTTGTTCTAGCTACTTCCCTTCCTGTATATAAAAACATTCAATAATAGTCTTGCTTGCATCATTTAAACCAATATAGAAGGATCTTTGTTGAACATGAGTGTAATACGGGCATATTTGGGATAAAAAGACTTTGGTCTGTATCTTAAGAAAATGTAGTTGTTATAAATTTTAGCTGTTTCCTTGATGGTTGCAAATATTTTGTGATAAATAGTTTAAAGTTATTGGGTGCTTCATAAACAAAATTAACCTAATTGACTCATTTCTCACTACCGAAGCAAGCAGAGCAGAATGCCAACCTAAAGCAGAAGTGTCACAGAAAAAGAAAAGCACCTTCTCATTTGAGGCTTGTTCTTAATGCTTCATTAATGCTAAGCATCTCAATCCTGGCTACACATTAGGAAGCTAAAAACAGACTCTGTCCTTAAGATCCTCATTTTAATTGGGCTGGGCCAATGCCATAGAGTCTGTTTAAATTTCTTAGTTGATTGTGATGTGTAGTCATTAAACATAATATAATATACAAAAGTGTTTAAGGAAAGAACATGTAACTAAGACGTCTTCATAGTGGATGAGTATTCAGACTATACAAGAATGCTTGTTTGCAGTTTGTCAATGACATTGAGAACATCACTAGTTCCATTCTGTTGACTTTTAAATCAAGAAGTGATCTGTTAGTCGCGTATTGTGGTGCATGCGTGTAATCACAGCACTGTAGAAGCAGAGGTAGGAGACCCATGAGACTAAATGAGCTAATGGGAGACCCTGTCTCAGAAACAAACTCTAAAAGGGATCTGTGGTGGCCATGTCATAACTGTGTAATTTGTTTTTTTATACTCAACCTACTGAAAGGACAATAAGAAGGGAGGACTAAGCATAAGTTGAGTTATCATAGAAACCTGAAAATGCCCCGTTGTTAACAGGAAATTATGTATGTTTTTAATCTTTTCTTTTTTTTTTTAAGTTTCTTCAGGATTGAATGAAAATCTTGCTATCAATGGAGGAGGCTGGAATGAAAAGTCTGTAAAGCTCTCCTCGCAGATGAGTACAGGTGAGGAGAAGTGGAACTCTGCTCCACCTGCTTCTGCAGGCAAGAGGAAGGCAGAGCCACCTGCTTGGACTCCAGAC